CTAAAGTTAAAAAAATATGAGTGGGTAAGTGAATTTGGGCAAAAATCAACCTAGAATACTTTGTTTCCGCAATTTTATTTAGTTCCCGCCCTACATTTGAATTTTAAACTTGTCCCGATTTCCCCGCCAATCCTCTAGCCAAGGTGGTTGAAAAGAAGCTTCATTTTTTGCTTTTAGCCCTCCGTCTTTATGTCTTTGGTATTGCCATCTCTGTGCCGCTCTCTGAATCGTTATCAGTTTTAGGTTATCGTGGAGCTCCAAAGTTGGCCCAATGCATAGAGTACATAGAGTCGTAATGTAAATGGGAGAGCTGGCGCCATGTTCTGCTCGACGAATTCCGAGCCCGGTGTGCGCCGAGTTCGGGTCGCTTTTTCGATACATTTTCGATCCAAAATGGCGGTGTGGAATACCCATAGAGTACATAGAGTCGTAATGTAATTGGGAGAGCTGGCGCCACTTTTAAGCATTTTCCATGTCCCGAATTCCGAGACTCCTGTGTGACGCCGGGTCACTTTTTCGATACATAATCGATTGTTTGCGATACACAGGTACCCGGTCATCCGATGACAACAACAACAACAACAACGGAGATAGGAATTACCATGTATTCCACACCGCCATTTTGGATCGAAAATGTATCGAAAAAGCGACCCGAACTCGGCGCACACCGGGCTCGGAATTCGTCGAGCAGAACATGGCGCCAGCTCTCCCATTTACATTACGACTCTATGTACTCTATGGGAATACCTGGTAATTCCTATACCCTTTGTTGTTGTTGTTGTTGTTGTTGTTGTCATCGGATGGCCGGGTACCCGTGTATCGCAAACAATCGATTATGTATCGAAAAAGTGACCGGGCGTCACACAGGAGTCTCGGAAATCGGGATATGGAAAATGCTTAAAAGTGGCGCCAGCTCTCCCTCTCACATTACGACTCTATGTACTCTATGGCCCAATGAAACAAACCCGACCCAAAGGAATACGTATTATCGTCTGAGAAATGAATGAAAATCACACTCGAAGGTTAATTTTCGGCAAAAATACCCATTTAAGATCGATCCGAACTCAATCCAGAAGTTTGATCATAAAAAAATGTCCATCACGTCCAAAATCACGTCTAGAACTTAGCAAATCTTTCCCGCCATCTTGTTTGTTTACATCGGGCGAAACTAGGAGCGGAGGGGCTAGGGTTTGCTTACATTGGTCCAACTTTGGGGCTCCATGATAGCCGATCAATCAGAAAGCGGCACACTTTTCCTGTGGTAAAAGTATTGAGATGGCAATACTCTCCAGTATACAGGTACTCTAATCCTCACCCAAAGGTGCCGTTAGAGCCTGTGGTAACGGTTCGTGTCATCGCCGCGATGGAGGCACGTCACAGCTTCATCCGATGGGGCTATCTCGTCACGGAGGCGGCTACGGGTGTCACGTACGTGGCGGGCCCGCTCGTCACGTACCTCTTGAGCGACGACCCGAAGAAGCGCCTGAGAACACCCACTGGACTGCGGGACCCCTTCCCGGATGCGAGCGCCTTCAGCCGCGCCCTCTGCTACCCGCTGTACAGCCTCTCCGCCCTGTTCAACGTCTTTTTCGTGCTCCACAGTGGGCTTATTGTCGTTCTGCTCTTCGACTCGGCCAGGACGCTCTTTCAGCTGAGCGCCCTGTCTTTCCAACGAGTGGATTCCTGATGTACGGAGGAGCTACGGGCCTGTGTCCGCTTCCACCAACGGATCATAAGGTACACACTCAGAAATACTGTCGTGCTAAGGAAAAACGCCGTACGAACATTCTGGCGTTGTCAAATTTTATTTGATAAAATACGAATTTCCTGGTAGACTCATGAATGTTTTCCTTCCAATTTTTCACATAATTTTGTTCGCAATTCCTCCCAAAGTACTTGAAAATTTCAAAGAAAAATATTCATACACTGAAAAAAAAATCCGAGTGTATTTACTAATAAAATGATAAAATTACCAAGAATTCAGGGTTCTATTTGATCCCAGTTTTTTCTTGGTAAAATTACCATTTATGGAATTGGTAATTTTACCGAGAAATCTCGGTAAAATTATGGACTTTCTCAGTAATTTTACTGGACCACGGTAAAAACGCCAATATTTTTTATCGACTGTGGTAGAATTACCGAGATAAAATGGCAAAGTTACCGGGAATTGATTACCAATAAAAGTGGTATTCTTACCTGAAAAAACAGTAAAAATACCGGTTTTTAGGTAAGCTTACCAGTCTGTCTTTGTAAAATTACCAATAATTGGTAAAAAAAGTGAGATGGTAAAGGTACCAACGGACCTTGGTAAAAACGCCAAGAATTTTTTTTCAGTGTAATTTTCTTCAAAAACAAACATTTAATTGAAAGAAATTTGGCAACTCTCGAATATTCATACGGCGTTTTTCCTTAGCACGGCAGCATTGCCTGGTTCATTTTACTAGAGAACTAAATCTATTTTCATTCTCTATTTTCTAATTTTCATCTATTTTAATAGTGACTATATGTAAGTACGATTAGGCCTAAATGTAACACTGGAGAAAAAGTCGCTTGGATCTAAAGTCCGGACTCTTAAAAACATTGACAAGGAAAAAAATTCTTGATTCAAGCGGACTTTTTGCTTGAATCAAAAAGAAATCCGCCTAAATTAAGAGGTTCGGCTCTGCGATTCAAGGAAAAATCGGATTGAATCAAGAGTAGTTTTTCTTGTCAATGTTATTAAGAGTCTTTACTCTAGTTCCAAGCTACTTTTTTCCAATGAAGGGATATTATTTTGTCACGTGAAAACAATAAAATAATGCGTTGACATAGATACAATCGATGCGCATTCCGGCTGAACATCATCTTCAGAATGTAAGTACAGGCTTTTAACAAATGATACAAGACAATAAAATAACTGTAATAGGAAAGAAACAGCGAAAAAACACATGACAAAAGGAGCGGAGTTGGTACGAGGCGTGAACTTTCAATGTTCTGCTCTATGTAATTGCCAATGAGGTGTCGCTCAGCTCAGATTCGGGAGAGAAGTTTAAAAACGAAGCCCGATTACGTCTTTCCTATCTTCGGCCGTGTTGCTCACGTATAGCCTTTGAAGCACAACCACAAATAAGACAAACGGAACAACATGAAAATACAACAATACAAGTACAACAATACAAGTACAACAATATGAAACTAGAGCAAAAGAAGACGCGCGTAGATGACGGCGCGGAGATACAACTGTTCGTGTTTGATGGATGTCCGTGTTGCATATACAAAATTGAAGGCGCAACGGTGCGAGGCGTTAACTCGCAATGTTCCACTCTATGCTGTCGAGGAGGTTTCACTCAAATTCGGAGGAAAAATTAAAAAACTAGTCCCGATTACGTTTCTCCTATCCTCGGCTGTAGTGACACTTCAGTTATTCTTTTTTTTCAATTTGATATCTGATTCGCTTATTAGGATGTACTTGTAGACCTTCATCTAAAGCTCGTGTGTACCGGCCCCATGGAGATAGTTGGGTAGATTTTACCTTGTTCGGGATTTTTAAGGGTAGCGGTAGCTGTCAAAGAAAATTCTTTAACACTCGATTTCGTCCCTTTTTTTCCATTTGATGTATAATTCTTTTTTACGATGCATTGTACACCTTTACTAAAGCTCTACGTATACCGACCCCACACAACCCGTGGGGCACGTCTTTTAAAGGAAGCCTCAGGTCAACTTGACTGGACTTGGGCATCTAAGGGTTAAACAGTTCATTTCATTAGGGAGGTTAACATTGCCGTTAAAATTATGTTTCAGAAAGCCATTGATGTATCACTAGGGCTTTTTTTTTTAGCTAATGTTCATGAATATCGAATAAAATGCAACGGTCTAACTTTTGGGGATATACCTTTGCAAGAAATTGCAATGATTTTCCACTCATAGGCCTAGCTAGAAGGAGGGCCCAGGGAGGACCTGGCCCCTACTGGAATTGAAAATAGTTCCATTTTGCCCCCCCCCCCCAGATATTCTGTCTGATGGAAAAAATCTTCGTTAACGTTTGCCCTCTTTTGCAGTGAAACTCATATATTGCATGTAATAATTTAAAAGAATTTTCTGCTTAAAATGCTTAGAACAACGTACTTTATGTGCAGAAATTAATTCAAAATTTGCGCCATATAGGCCTCAAAATGCGTCCAAATCGAATCCAAATTTTAAAAATTTTCTCCTAAAAATATTTTTCGAATTGAAATTCTGTCAACCATTTCCGATAAATACATCTCGCCTTTACAAGGTAATGTATTTTTTTTTTTTTTTTTTTTTTTTTTTTGGGGGGGGGGATTAAGCTTTGTACATTTTAAGCAATAGAAAACAATCAGAAAAACACCTACAATCAACCACAAACATGCGATTGCCCGCTCAATCGCTCAACGAAGCGACGCGCCATCATCCGAGGCGCTGCATACAACTATTCGTACTCGATGGATGTGCGTATTGTAGGAGCATTTAATTGAAGGCGTTTTAACTTTCCTCGCGCTCACAAGCATCGACCGCGAGACGCGTAACAACTAACGACCGTATTTTCTGCGTCCATGGTGTGCAATCGCACGTCGATAACCAAAGTGCGAAACCACGTATCTACGACAATGCAGACTTCTTGCCATTCTTTATATATTTATTTATTTCTATATTTATCCATTTATTTATCTATTTATTTATCTATCCATTTATTTATTTATTTATTTATTTTATGTATGCTCCTTTGCTACATACTATCCAAAAGCGACGAAGTTTGAAATAAAATTCGATTTTTTTCATTTGATTTTTATTGGTCCAATCGCCCCCGGGCATAGTAAAATTGCACAAATGAGAAGTGGGTATGAAAATCTTTTCATTTTTTTAGTCGTTCTTTAGTCGACGCGGGCCTAAGAGAGCGCGAAGCGTCCTCTGATGGGAGTTGGGCCGCGTAGCAGCCAGGGGGCATAGCCTCCTAGTATAACTTACTTGGTAACGCTCTCTATACATATTTTCAGACTTGCTTCAAGGCTCCAGGCTCTCGTTGCGCCGGTTGTAACTTTTGCTGTTTTTGGATCTACAATATACAGCGGAATTTTTGGAGGGTTAGCTGTTTCTCAGGTAATATTAAGAGGAGACATGAGTCATTTTTGATCAAAAGAAATTCTTCCTATTTTTTATCTGATTGAGCTCTATATATCCTCACTTGAAATTCAAGACCATGGTTCTTTTTTAAGATACGATAATTATTTCATCAGTTATGTCACGTCTTATGACACATCAAGAAATACAAATCGGTACCCTGATAACGCCATTCCCATGTGTATCCAAGACTTAAAACTGGTTTTTCTCACAACAACGTTTTTTGACCTCAAGGTATTACACTTTTTTTAGGATATACTAAAACTTTGTACGTTGTATTTTTCTGATCCTTTTGCTCTAACTACAGAAGAGAGTGTTTTCTCTAACCACACCCCAAGAACAACAATCAGTCTGGAGGGCCTGTTCAATATAATTTTTTTAGAAAAAACTCATAAAAATTTCGGTTTTTTTTCAATTTTCACAAATTTTTTTGTTTTAAGCCAGAAAGAAAATCTAAGAAATAAAACAAAAAACAGTTTTTAAAAATCCAAGGCACTGTGAAATGTCACATCATTATCGAAATGCATACCTAAATAATGCATCTCAATATTCGTTTAAAATTTTTAAAAAGAGCACGTGGAGATATTAGAACTTCGATGAGTCATATAAAATCACACACGATTGTCTGATCTAGTATGAGATTCTCCCTCCCTTTTCTTCACGCGCCTTCCTCCATTTCCTGTTGTCGCGCAGGAGGAAGAAGTACTAGCAGGGTTATCATTTCATTAACAACTTTAAAAAAAAAATCGAAATTTCCGTCGGACTTCTATTTTTTCTATTCCTAAAAAAGCACAGGTGCACTTACTGCTGATGCCTCGTTATTATTTATGTTACAGCCATTCTCCGTTGAAATTTTCAAGTATGTAGTTGCAATTATCGCGCCACAACTTCTATTTTTTCTTCTGTTCAGGTATCCTGCTCTGACATCACAAACGGTAAAATGTTTTTTTGAATTAAGTTCTTTCATGTAACGACTATTTTAAAATGGATTCCTTGCAAGGGTGGGGAAGAGGCATAAATTCGGTCATGAATCGTATGACATTCAAAACAGACTTAACAGACAAAAATCCCCTCGTGAGGCTGATGCCCCCCCCCCTAAAGTTGTGAAAGCGACACTTCGAGATGAGCCCAAGTGAACATATCGACGGTGAAACTGTATGTACTAGATCACCAGTGGCGTGGCGTGCTTTGCGATACATCGATTGTGTTCTGCCATTTAAACCTAAGGTAAAGAATCGATTATTCAGGTGTTCGCTGCGAACACCCTGTCTATCGATCCTTTTCCATGGGTTTAAATGGCATAACAATCGATATATCGTAAAGCACGCAACGCCACTGTAGATCACGTATCTCGGGTTGGGACGTTTCAGACCTCCCATCATACATCATATTTTAAATGGAAAACTGCTCAACATCAATTCTTAATAACTTCCGTGATTTCTCCGCTCCGCGCGAAGAAATCTAGACCTCTTTATTCCCACGACCTAAATTCCTCCTCCCCCACTAATAACTGTTATCCAGTGTTCGAAACTCACAAGCACCATCGCGCCAAATGCGCCTCAGAAATCGGTCATGGTTCCTAAAAAACGAAGGCTCTACGCCTACGTGGCTCTAAAAATTGCCCCCCCCCCTTCTCAAGAAAATCCTATAATTTGTCTGTTTGGTGAGTTTTTGAAATATCGACACATCACGTCACCGGACTCTAACTTTTCACTAAATGCACCGTGATAAATAGGCAAAAAGTCAATTCGGCATCCTAAATATTTTCAATGGCCCCTAAAAATCGAGTTCGATGGGCCACATGGCCCCTGAAACTTATAAGTGAGTTTCGAACACTACCGGTAACTATCCCCAATGGTGATTCTGGTGGTACGTATGAAAATGTTAACGGCAATATTTGTGAATAATTTGAGCACGTTCAATCTTTTTGCGACAGGCGACAAACATTGGCACTCAACTTTACTACAATGAATCCTGGTTACTATTGTGAGGCAAATCCGTTCCCATCCTAGAATTGATTATGATGAGAACCAACAAAAGAATCAAATTCCGAATCCTTAAGTTTTGGGTTCTTTCACATGAAAGTTTTTTAAAGGTGAGTGGTTTTCTTAAAGCTTTTGTGGTTGTGTGAGTTTAGGAAAATGACTAAATCATCATGAGAAATGTAGTGGGACCTTTTGATGAAATAATTATTTCTGTATACTGTAATTAATGACTCTTTAAAGAGAGTCATTAATTACAGTCTGTTGGTGAGTTTGATATATTATTCACACCCAACGTGAATGAAAAGTCGATGTTAAATATACAAATGAAATGACTGCGGTTGTTGACAACCGCAACGGTTAAAAACAACGTATGTGCCATTAGTTTCCCTGTGCACATAAGTGTTTTTCCAGAGGAGCCAGAATTTATAGTTCCAAATTGCAAAATGCAGTCCAAATTATGTTCCGTTTCTCGATTCCCGTAAACTGTGTCAAGTGGTAAAAGTGAGAAATAGTTCTTTCTTAAATTTATTTTTTCATTTGTTATCACTGTTACAGTATCTAGAAAACCTTTATGCGATTGTCGTCATCATTCGATCCGTAACCAGGTCTCACAAAGCGATAGCAATGTCAAGCTAGACACAGACTCGATGCCTCACCGACACCGATGACGCCATCAACAACATTACCGTTGAACCGGCAGGTTTGACCTAACCCGAGCTCGGCAGGAGTGCAAAAGTTCGTTTTTGAGCTCCAGAAACTTTAGATAGAAAATTCCTGGATGAATCAATGCGTCGAACAATTCGCAAGAGCATTGACATAATATTTGCTCTGACATGATTACTCTTCTTCAATACAAATAATCTTCCCTGACAATAAAAAATTAATTTAGTCATTATCAATAATAAGTTTAATTTTTAATTAATCTTTATTAATTTTTTGAAAGTACACATAGTGATGCCACTGATTTTGTCTCAAATCAATTCTCAAGCTCGAAAAAAAGCACACAAAGGTAAGTCCATAATGGCGATAAAGATATTGTGTTAGTATAAAAGAGTCCACCTGTATATAGAGTCTAATTCTTTCGTGCAAGGATCGAAATCATTCTCATTAGCAGAGTCAACACAATCCTGGCCTAAAAAAAACTACTTGATATGTCCCCATCTTCACGTAAGTTGGCAAGCTTGGCAAAAACATAATCTGGTGCAGGGCCGGATTTACCTACTTGCCGCCCATGGGCCGCTTGTATGTTTCCGCCCCCTTCTCATTCGTTTTGAAACATCAAAAAAAAAACATCAAGTGAACGTGCCGGTGGGGAGGGGTGCATAAGACACGTTTACCGGAAGCCCTGTCAACACTACTAGCAAAATTTCACAGAACTTTGCGCGAAAGTTAAGTTCCGTGAACCTATCTCTATGTGGACAAGGTCCTCCATTTATAAGAAATGAACCAAAAAATTATGAAAGAACAAACATAAATGTGGTTTAATAATTTTAACGTCCGCCGCTGCGCCGCGCTAATCGCATTGTGATTGGCGCAATGCGTGAAGTATTCTTGCAGTCTTGTAGGCGCTATACGTTTCACGCCAACCGCTCCTGACCGAACTGTGTTTGGCGCAATGCGTAAAGTATTCATGCAGTCTTGTAGGCGCTAAACGTGTTACATGCCGATCGCCGCGCCAAGGGCTTGTTTTTTTCATCTCAAGTCCTCGTCATCATTCCTCTCTGCGTTGAGCTCCAGGCCAAATTGCGTGTTTAGTTCCTCTCTTCATTCTACTAATTAAAGATGTTATTTCTTGTATCACCGAAAAACGACAAAATTAGAAATTACTATACTCTCAGAAAAGAGAGATTTCGTCCCCTTTTCTCATGGATAATTTTTTTTCTGAATCTGATTTCTTTATACCTACATTTAAAAAAATTGCAAAATTTGCCGCTCTTGCCGCCAAGGGACGCGGCCAATGTGGCCACCCCCTTAATCCGGCCCTGATCTGGTGGTCATAGAATTGTCCCCTAGCCGTTCTATTCTGCATGGAGATAGAATGAAAAGTAATTTCCACCCCAATTTCAATGCAAAATAACTCAGTTATTTAAAATGCAATATCTGGAAAATCATGAAACCATGCATAATAATTAAAGAGGAATCATTCTGTGAGCATTTTTTCACTCCAAGAACGCAGCAGTTTTCTCAAAATATTTCTAGTTCTTAAATATATCCGATAAAAAGTACCTCAAGCTCTATTGAGTTCTTTATCACGGCGAGAACTAGCTAGATTTGCCTTTGCGTTTGTCGCTCGATGTTGGACTTGCCCGTCAATTTGAATTTACCGCCAAAAAATGTAAACCGGGCACGAACCAATAGCATCAACTCTATCATGAGATCGTATTCTATTGGTCCATGACTGAATGACGTAATATTCTAGTTATCCTTTCATCTCTCCCAACCCAAGTAATTTCTTATCGTCAACAAAGTGCGGTGTGCTCCAACAGTACATGTGGATAACAATTTTCCAGTTTTTCTAATTTTCTGTCAATATATGTATTTTCTCCATCAGCTACAATAGTTCCTTACACACTGCTGACATGGTAAGTTTCCATTTACTTGCTTTTAGGCAAAATTTCACACATTATCAGTCAGGCTAGCTCCCTGTTTTGGCGATTACTTCAACCCGAGGAGCCATCACAGATGGTTTGTGTCATTCAGAATTCCATCTAACGTGAGATTACTCACTCTACAGCGCAATCGCAATCATGATGCCCACTAGTCTGTTGAAGAAGGATTAGGTACCTAGTCTTTCAATTTAAGTGACAGGATGAATGAGGAGTCTGCAATGCATGAGCTGTGGCACTCTTACAGGCACTCCTCTAGATCCGTGACTGCAGTCATGGGCTTTTCGCTAATTGATCAATTAGGACCTATGCATCATAACTGAAACTGCACATCAAAACATGTGCACAGCGGTAATTTTTGTTCTGTCACGACTGAATCAAGTCTTCTGGCGTTAGAAATTTCTAAAGTCGATGTGTCATCAATTTGGTTGCGCAGCACCCTTTGACTGACATAACCATTTAGAACCCTCTCAGGTTAGGAGGGATGGTCGTGTTCAAAATCTTGGTTTGTCTTTGGTATAATATTTGTTTGTCAGAATATGTTGCGTTAGTTCAATATGATCAAAGCTCGCGCATCGTATGTTGAGATTAACGTCAAAGTATAGAGCTAGCAAGAGATTGACGTTTCTTGCAGCATACGATGCACAAGCTCTAGCTGATCCTCAAATCAGCGTTGGTGAGTGAAATGAATGCAAGAAGCTACTCTTTTATTGCTCTCCATTTCAATCGTGTCTTCAAAGGCTGGTGATACGATGGACAAGTGAGGATGAGGATTTGAGGGCATACCAGTGGCGTGGCGTGAATTACGATATATCGAATGTTATGCCATTTAGACCTATGGTAAAGAATCGATTGTTAAGGTGTTCGCTGCGAACACCCTGTTTATCAATCCTTTTCCATAGGTTTAAATGACATATAACAATCGATATATCGCAAAGCATGCCACGCCACTGGGGTATACCTATACTTATTTTTATTGACCCTGTGTCTCTATACTTCTAATGAATATATTTTTGTATGAGAATCTTTGATTTCTGCTCCAAAAATGAAGAAGCATTATTTTTACCCCGGAGACTTGCATTTCCTCTGTTATAAATCTGAGGTATCCATTTTAGTTTTTTTTTTTTTCGGAACGGTTTTAAGGCAATCTACCGACTGTGGTATTTAGCACTTTTCTGGAGGTTATCTGGTTCTTGACCTAAAATTTTCAATTCTGGAAGTGGTTTTTTTTATGTTGTTTCTCATTGTGCATAACTCAGCATAATTTGTCTCCATTTTCAGAAACCGATCATCCTGCAAGGACATGAACGTTCAATCACCAAAATTGTTTACAACAGAGAAGGCGACCTTCTCTTCTCATCTGCCAAGGATAAAACTATTAACGTATGGTTTTCATTGAATGGAGAAAGGCTCGGAACTTTTGATGGACACAATGGTGCTGTCTGGGGCATTGATGTGGATTGGCAGACGACAAAACTAGTTTCTGGCGGTGCTGATAACACCATCAGGCTGTGGGATTGTTTAACTGGTAAAAAACATTTCTTGTACATCTTTCCTCTTATGCATGAAGATAATACTCAAACGGATCAGTAAACAATTGCGACAGTTCGTCAAAAGGGACCCAAGTGGCAAAGAACTCGCACAAGAGCTGTCAGCAGCACTTTTGCTTTAAGAATCGTTTCATGAACATTTTGGCACGAAAAGAACCAAAACAGGTTAATTTGAACTGGAGTTATGATGGTCAAACTTTTGCATTGCGAAAACCATTGTTTCAAGAAAAGCTATTCAAACTTTCACCATCATTGTTCAAGCCTCATTAAATGCAACTTTACTTAATCTCTTGGCACCTAAAGGAAGTGAGGCTGCTTACAACTTATTCCTCGGAGGGTGATTGCCGTGTTAAACCCAAGTTCTGTTTTTATTATCTAACTTAAAAAAATTTGCTCTCTTATTAAATTGGCCTCCATGGATTAATATTCCTGGAGTTCATAAAACCCGCAATTAATGTTGAAAAAATTAATACAATTCTTTAATCTGTCCTATTTTCCCTCCAGGTGTTGAACTAGGATGTCTTAGCACACAATCAGCCGTCAGGACGAGCAAATTTAGTTACTCTGGTACATCAATTGCCTACTCAACAGACGCAGCACTGAAACAGAATTGTGAAATTTTCCTCGGTGATGTTCGTGGAGATAATCTGAGTATGTTTTCTTCCTCATTACTTTACCGTTATGTTCTATTCACGTTGTTGAATTTTTGCAACTTTATTCAAAATATTTGACATTTTGGTTAGTCTTATCGAGTAAATAAAAATGAAATTTAAAAAGAAGAGAAAATGTAGTAAATCAAAGTTTTAGCCGTAGAGGTAAAAATCTGAAGAATTCGTTCATTAAAATCTGCTTGAATTTTCCTGAAGGTTTTTAACTGTCATATCTGTAAGGCTTTGAAACTGTCTAGGTTTCTGGGCCATTCAAGAAAAGGTTGGGCACATAAAAGGCTAAGAGGCTCAGAGAGTATGGAAACCCCCATTTTTGAAATCTGGGTGTCTACTGAGGGTCATATTGAGCTTTTTAATGCTTGATTTCAGCCGCCTACAGTATTGAGCTTTCTGTGGTTCTGAGAATTTTTTTTAGAGAACCTTGTGCTTTATCAGGTCTCTGCAGGGTAATGATTTTTGCATCCTAAGGTTTTTTTCTTGAGTGATGTCTTCAAGAGATATTTATCTTCAAAGAAAATTGTTTTCAGTGAACGGCTATTCCATGAGAAAAAGTATAAACGTGAACTCACATGTTGATTAAAAATTTCAGTGACCTGAAAGAATCAAAAACAAGTCCTCTCAGTTTTCACATTCGTTCCAAGAGTTTTGATGAATACTCAATTGACTTTAAACATTTTTTGAACAATTATTGAAACTTATTAACTTCAAAAGTCTACTCAGCGGTTCCTCTCTGGCCTTTAATGCTCATTCTCAGTTGAGGAGCAAAAGGACACTCCATGCGTGGGACAAGATACTTTCCAGTGTTTACCCTCTCAAATAACCTTAACTGGAAGATAAATTTTAAGCAGAGGTGATAGAAGCAGTTCATAGCTGAATTATAGAACACTGAATCAAAACAAAGTTTGAACTGTAATCTATGTGTCCGTCACTCTTATTCTGTGTTTTCAGGAAACCCATACATGACTCTTCCAGTCCGAGACTCAAAAGTAACTGCATTGCTGTGGGGTGAGGTAGATGAACTTTTAATTGCTGGATTTGAAAATGGAGAAATCTCTCAATGGGATTTAAGAGTAAGTATATTTGTCCCCTTTTTTTATTTAGTTGTATCTTTTGCTGGCATTTTGAAGTTTGTAAAGCTTGTAAAAATAAAGTCCTGGGTATCATAGAAAAATAAAGGAGAAAAGATGTCATAAGGCAGTTTTGTTAAAGAAGAAAAAAGAGAAACAGCTCTTTCAAAACGATTTAGGTCATAAAAAAGAATTATTCAACAAAACATGCAATGCTTAACCGCCACCAACTGAGGATCAAACAATACTTAATTTCTCATTTCAATGCAATGAGTTTTTGTAATGATTTAAGATACAAGTTCAGGAAGACCTGGATTTATCGGATCACGATTAAATGGAATCCAGGATTTAATGGATCGATCTCTTGTTGTCAAGGACTTCGAGCTCTTCTAATTAATGGTCTCCGTGATTTATCAGATCGATTTATCAGTCCTGTGAAATCAGTTTAATCAAAATCTTATTGTATGTTTGACAGCGCAAGTATATTTGCTGTAAAAATAATTATAAAGTGAACCAAAATTAGGTGTGCTGAAGTATTAAAATATAAAAGAGACAAGAAGCTCTGCCTTAAAGTTTTCCGATTGTGTAAAAGTTGAAGCTGATTTCACTCATTGATAATGACAGGGTTGCCACAGTCGGGGAATACGGAAAAGTTAGGGAAAATGACAAAAGTATCAAACAAATAGTGTTAGGTCCTTTTATTAACTTTCTAGAATAGGTTTAACGTTTTGTACAACAGATTTTGCTTAAAAACTTTTTCAAATTATGTCTTTTCAACCATCTGACATACCTTCAATCATCAGGGAATTTTACTGAAATGAGTAGGGGAAATGTCAGAGAATTTCATTTTCTAAATTTTGTGGCAACCTTGCCATTAATGGCTGATGAGTGATATATTCAGCAACCCACTAAAATCTGATTCCTAACCCACCAAAATTGATTCTCTCTCTCCAGATGGCCAAAGAAGTTAACAACATCTGCGAACATAATAACTCAATCAATGACATGCAAACAAGCAAAGATGGAACACTTTTTGTCACTGCATCAAAGGATAACACGGCCAAATTGTTCGATATCGATACTCTGGAATGTCTCAAGTGTTATAAAACGGAACGTCCTGTCAACAGTGCAGCTTTATCTCCAGTCTATGAGCACGTAAGTAATTTTAACAGAAATTTTACTCTTTGCAACAAATTCTTTTGGTTGAAATGAGATTAATTGGCATGTAGTGCATTGTAATTTTGGAGTGTCAAGTGTTCTCAGAGCTTAAGGTATTAAACGTAAGTTAGCTGTTATTATTTGGAGTGTAATCCAAAGAGATCGATCTCTTAAGGTCTTTAAAACAAATTCTCTCAACTGAAAAAATAAGTGGTCATCTGTAGGAAAAAGGACCACCTCTGTGGTAATTTTTCAAGAGATCGATTCTTGTCAGCTTGTTACCTGCGGCGAAAAATCAAAATTTTAGCGCTTGATAGAGACTCTTTGTATTCTCAAGAATAAATAGTGAGCTGTGGTCAGCCTGAGAAACAATTTACCTCCAAAGCCTATAACTTTTTTTATAATGAATATTACAGCTTGAAATGTTGACCCAATTTTTTCCTAAGTATTAGGAAGCCTTCATCACTAAAAAGTAGAAATCGATGTTTGTTTTTCCAGATCGGTTTTTTTGCTGTACCCACTGAAAGGTTACTTTTTTTAATCTCCACTGTAAGGCGTAGTTTGCCTAACTTAATCACACCTAATAACTGCTCTATTTAAAGTAAAGGAATAAATAAATAATTTTTATTTCAGGTGGTGTTAGGAGGAGGTCAAGAAGCCAGGGATGTAACAACGACTTCAACCCGTGCTGGTAAATTCGATGCTCGGTTCTTCCATCTGATTTTCGAAGAGGAATTTGGTCGCGTCAAAGGTCATTTCGGTCCCATCAACTCTTTAGCATTCCATCCTGACGGCAAAAGTTTCAGCAGTGGAGGAGAAGACGGTTTTGTTCGTGTTCACACATTTGATCAATCCTATCTAGATTACCGTTTTGACGTTGGAAGTTAAGTTTGTTATCAATGCACAGATCATATTCTAAGAGAGAAAAGGTGTCATGATAATTATCACACATTTTTCTTTTTTATACAATTTACAGTTGTTTTGTACAAATTACAAGTTTGAATTTTTTGTAAAATTCATTTACTTGGTCCTATTTTTTACTCATATTAAAAAATTGGTCAAGACTCCAAAACTAAAATGTTCTCTTTATTCCAGAAGCAAATATCCAAAAACGAAACTACATATTTAATTTATCTGAAAGTCAAATTTTTTATCAAAATGTATGGAAACTCGTCTCTAAAATTCTTGAAACGGACGACGAGACATGGTACAAATTTAAGCATTCTGATAAATGCTTCCACCTCAAAATTTCATGTTGATTAGAATTGGAGCGTGTTGAGCAGAAAGGAACCAAGCCACATCAGCTACTGCCAAAAACTGGGTAACTTAATTTTTTACAAGAGAACATTTGTGCAGAATCCTTTTAAAATTTTAAGGACTTTGCTATGTACCAAGCAGAAAATTCACTGAAATTTGTATGAAAATCTGCACAACCGTTTTCATGTAAAAAATTAAATTGCCCAATTAAATTTAGCAGTAGCCGTTGTGGCTTGGTTCCTCTCTACTCAACATGGTCTAATTTGCGAAAGAAAAATAATTTATGTTAACTCCAAACTAATATAATACTTACCTTACTACTTACCCTAATACCTTCTTACTTAGCACTGATTACGCAAAATTTCTATTTTTCGCTCACATGAAAAACCTATTATTTAGGAAGTCCAACTGTTTTTATCAGTGCATCTTTCAGTGTATTGTCTATTCCACCAGACTTGTAGGCCCATTTTTAAATGTTAGTAATACATAGTAATTGTAGGATTTCCGCTGGTTTTGCATTCATATCATTTGCAGTGTAAGGAGAAGTCTCAAATCAGTGGAGAAAACCAAGTTAGAAAGATGATTGATCCTCACTATTCACTGAAACCCAGTAGAATACATGAGGTCAATAACAGGCTAAATAAAAATGCCATGGGTCAGTCAATGAATTTTAAAGGTACTATATGCTCCAATTCTCTTCAGGGTGTAGCTAGAGGAATAATTTAAGTCAAAACTTGAGCTGAATTTACCAGCTAATCTACACCCACTCTCTGAACAGTTTTTTTTCTTCCTCTTTTTTTCCTTTTTTTTTAGGGAAAATTCAAGAAAATGGAATTATCTTTAAAATCAATTTCTTACTAACTTCTCTCTCAGGTAGATTTGGTTTCTCGGCATATACCTGGCAGTGCCTTCAAATAACAGTGACACATTAAGACAGTCATTTGTAGTGTATCTTCGTTTTTCATTGATCCATCAGGCTCTTCCAAAATACTAAGAGCCATAATAATACATAACTATTTTCTCATGTCACTGTACACCAGTGACCATCAAAACGATGGACATCAGCGCTCAATTGCCATGGTTACATTTTTTCTGTACATCAGAAAAAAACCCTAGCTACATAGGGAATAAAATGGTTTTATACAATTTCATACACTTCTGGGCAGAAAATTTTAAAAAATTTCTTGAATATTTCCAAGTGATTTCATTACAGGATTTTAATCTGAAATTTGTGTCAGTAGTTTGCAGGTGACCACTTTCCAGACACTTTCGCCCATATCAAACCAAATTTTACATTCCTCTCAGAAGTTAAGGGAAGTGATTTCAAATTTGCAATAATTGCAAGCTCTTCCAAAAAATTCGTTTGTTTTGTGGTTGAAGGAGGTAATTGAAGTTTTTCTTATTTCAAGGAAAAGACAATAATTGAAGTTTTTCTTATTTCAAGGAAAAGACAATAATTGAAGTTTTTCTTATTTCAAGGAAAAGACAATTAAATTTGAAAAGTTTCACGGAAGCTTATGTGGACAACCTCTGATGTTAAATCGTATTCTGAGACGAGCTTTGCCTGTAAAAACCAAGAATCCATGGATATGTGTTTAAGAACACTGTTATCAAATTTTTCTCTTCGGATTTTGGACCAAGGTTGTGAAATGATGGCAAGTTTATAATACCATAACAACGGTGAAACTCTCAAATCAAGTATCTCAGTTGGCAACATTATAGACTCATACTTAATACATTTTTTAACTGTCAAATTGTTTGACGTTCATTCATTCAAACTCCTGTGATTTTTCTTCTTTGTGCAAACAAAATTCTGTGAAAACTTCAAGTAATGCTGTTGATTTGTTCTTAGTCAAAAATATAAAATAGGAACAGAGATTTTGAAACACTGCAAACATGATACGTGGTTTGGGAGTCTCATGTTCGATCACCTTCATTGATTGTGATTGAGGCAAGTAAGAGGGTCCTTAAAGGGAAAACTGAAATTGTTCAGTTCAACAAATAAACGGATTTGGATCTAGGAGTAGAAAAATTATTTTATTAACAGCAAACCCTCTCCAATATCAAAAGAACATCGAGTTAAAATTTTAAGCCATAATTTTATAATCAGTAATGTTATGAGGTTTTGAAGTAAATCGTCTCCAAGACTGACAACACATTTAGCAAATTTTAACAGGAAACTCCTTGAACCCTCCATTTTTTGCTTTCAAATTTTGAATTGCTTCAGAGAGCCAACACCCGGAATTTTGGGTGTTCTCTGTGCTACATAACATAAAACTACATCATTTAACCTGTGGTCTCGTTATTCAATTTTTTATCTTTTCACCATAAGAACCCATTTGCCCGACTGGATCGCTATAATTGTAGTCAAAAGCTTCGCTGTATGCTATGGTAACAAAAGACTTATGTAATCTCATTAAAGTGTAAGTTGAAGAGCGTCAGACTAATTAATTAAGATTATGACAACAAAAAAATTGTTGGCATTTCACAATACATTGATCAAATTATCGAAGGAGATGGAAAAGAAAAAAAATAAGAAAACAGACTTACGTCTGAAATTTTCAAAAATCTTTCATGGAACCATGTTCTCTAGTAGCAGTGGCTGTTAAGAAAATTTGTAAAAAACTCGTAAATTTTAAGAGAATTTAAAGTTTACTTCAAAACCACTTGAAAATTAGGTAAAAAACTCTGGAAATATTAGCATCAGGAAACCCTTTTTGGGGCTTTTTTTACATAGAATTGAAGAAAAATTTGAAGTAAATTTTTTTACGTAACTTTTAAGTAAAATTTACGTAATTTTTTTCTGAACTTCCTGCGGGCAAAAACGAGGGAAAAAAGTGGTGTACAGAAATGTATGAAAGGAAAAATTGCAGTCCATAAAATTATAGTTTGTTAATTTTTACGTAAATTTTACGTTTTCTTTTAATTAAAATAAAACTATTTTTTTATTTAAAAGAATTCCCCAAAAGGGTTTCCTAAAGCGAGTAATTCCAGAGTTTTTTTACTTAAAATTTATGAACTCTTAAAATTCTTTTTTTACAACTTTTTGTAAAAAATTTTTAAGAGCCATCGCTGCTGGGGGAATTTTCAAAAATGTCTTGGAACTATGTTACAACTCTGTCAATTTCATTTTGCACTCATTATCGGAGCCCCTAAACAGACGGAAACCGTCTACACCCGAGTTCAAGTACTCTCTTTGTTCCCTTTTGCGAATGTCAAGCTTTCAGCCGGAGCGACGATAAGGTACGGTCCCACAGTGAGCGGGCAGTGCGAAGTACACCGCGCGACTGGTCGATTGTTGGATCGTGATCGGATGAAATTGATCGGTAAATCCCTATCTTGGCAATGCTTTCTATCGATCAAGGTCATTCGATATCGATCCAACAATCGACCCAAATTTTCAACATTACTGGATCATTACATGCTTTTTGCTCTTGAAAAAGCGCGACCAACTCCGCTATGCATACCTCCTGTGAAACCGTGGCTTTATGCGCGACCGCCGATATGAGCCCACCAACGCCTCCGTATCATCCGACTGCCGAGGGAAGGGGGGATGACCCTGCCATTGGCCCCGAACATTACTTACCTGGGTATCGATAACATTAACCTAGCGCCATACGCTCGGACAATTAGCGGGTGTCCAGCGATGCGGCGTGGGTCAAGCATAGCGAGCATTCTTCAGCTACGGCGCGACAGGACGCGAGCGGCGTGAAGTCAACCTCGCGGTAATTTAAGTCAGTACCGGATTTATGCCTTACTTCGCTCATACTCACAATCAGTTAGCTGGAACACGGGATTAATTTAGGCGCCAGGGGATACTCTAAAGCTGAAACGTAGGGTGTCTAGCCTCACGATTTTTCCCAATTCTATCAGGATTTAAGGGAAAATCGGTCGTAAAATCAGGATTTGAGAAAAGTCGGCCGTCCGATCGTACTGCTTCCGCAATTCCGCATATGCCTCTGCAGAAATTTTAATTTTTCTCCGCAAATAATCAGTATTTGGAAAAATTATGAAATCAGGATTTTCCAAAATGAAAAAATAACAAGACTAGATACCCTGAAACGGGTTCTTGGCGGCGAGGATCCCCGAAAATTTTTAAAAGTTTAATTTCTTCCATGAGCGGCATTTGACTCATTTAAAATCGCTCGTTGAATTTGAAATGAAAATTCGTACTTATAATAGGAAAATAGCGTCGGTAAGAAAGATTACTGATTATAAGAGCCCAAATGAAGACAAAGAGACAAGAAATGTTTAATAAATGACGATTTCCCCCGGTTAGCAATTCAAGCTAGAATGATTTACTACGAAGTGTAATTTACCTTTACCTACCTCATACTTCCTGTATCAGACTTCATTAAACATAATTGAAAAATTTGACATCCCGAAATTTAAATATTTAAAAATTTGAATATTCTTAACAATTAAGAATTAAAGGAAATACATTTTTAGACTCAATATGAAATCACATTTTAAATATCCAGTTATTAAATTGATTGATTTAATCAAAAATCACTTTATTAATCTTCACAACCGAAATTTTAATTAAATTCAAAACTCACAAATAAATAAAAGTATTAATTTGTAAATCAAGAAGACATAAAAATACGGAAGTACCTTTTTTAATTAAGGATCTTATCGAAAAGCTGCTGTCTACTTATTTTTTATCAAGCTGCGTAATTTCCTCAGTAGGAATGTAAAGCTATAACAATCCTGTTTATTCAAAACATTCGGAGCGAGATAATCGTATCTTTTTCGAGTAGATAACTATTCGCGCTTTCCGGTAGGTTTGTTGCCTATACGGAAAATTGAAGGCGAACTCCA